TAACCCTCGGTAGAAACCAGCAGGTGGCAAAATTAAATGATTGGTATACTATTACAACTGACATGTGGAGTGTGAGATATTTTTTTTCATGATCTTCAAGTCATAAGCTTTCTAGGGATATATAGTTTGCCTAAGTTTTCAACTAAACCTAACTATGAAACATGATGAAAAAAATGGGCATTTTTTAGGTTTACCCCAACCTTAAAATACGCTCTAAAACAAGAACTCTAAGAGCTCTCGAAAGCATTCAATTTCCTGATAGCAACTTCAAGGAAGACAATTCTTAATCGATTCAACCAAATTTTCCTCGACAAAAAATTGATGTCTAGACTGAGTTAATATCTTTGGCTTCAATTACTTTTCTTCCAAAGAATTAGATTGAATAAAAGGCAGTTAAACTACTAGCTGTATAGTTAAATGATTCCCATATCAATTGATTTACGTCCTCTTTCCTTCATACATCAATAGAACGGAAGAGGCGGCGGGTAAAAAACATTCCAAGTAACTGAAAACAAAAAGAAACATCTCGTGAAAACATATCTGAACTCCTTCAGTAGTTGTACACAAAGGATTGATACTGAGTATTTCACTTTTCATTCGCTTTTTTTTCTCATAATATGATCATTACTTTTTCGTTATGATATATTTTCTCGCGATCATCAATCTCGCGCCTTTCGTACTACCATCAAATCAATTTTTGCTCTATAACTCCTGAGTTAAAACGATACCAAAATATATTTTCAGGAGTTGATAAATCTTTCGTTTCCCTTTTTTTCCTTCCGTGATACCCAAGTTACACGAGTAACCAGCGCGAAGAAATGCCTACAGATTTTAATCGTTTCCTTTGCCTACGGTGGGTACGATAAGAAACTGGGTTACTGTGGAAGGAACATCTACAAACCTGGACTCCGGCCATGGATACTGCTTCAATACCGTGGGCGAACAGATATTTATCGACAAAATCTGTTAGCGACTGAAGACAACCCTGGAAAGAATTTGAAGACAAGAGTGTAAGAGAGCGGGCGATTGCGCGCAGGAGTCACTTAGTTATGGATAGATTAATTTGAATCGATCGGCGCATTACTTGTGTGATACTTGGTCGAGGGTTGTCTGGATTTCAGACCAGGCACAAGAGTGGGTGTTGCCGTGAAGCCGCACTTTTAAAGTATGAGTTCACACCGTATGGCCGTACTAGTTGATAAGAGTTGATTAGTGCCGGATTTCTAAGAGGGTCATTGATTACGATGAGAGAGAGAGTGAGACAGGCTTAAGGGAGATTTATGGTGCAGAAACCATATAATCTTTATATCCATAATGAAAACTATATATACGTGAGTTTACTTCTCACTGAGGTACTTGATTTTCAGGGGTAAATTAACCGTTCAAAAAACTGTCCGTCTACTAACGCCGCCATATTGAAAACAACTTAGTAACCTGGCCGCACACCTAGGTAACGATGGAATCGCATCATCAAGCGGTTCACAATAAGCCGTGCTGCTCTGGTTCTCGAAGAAAACATCATTATTTGAGTCACAAATGCCTTGTTTTGCGACTCTTGGTTGTTCAGACGGATCGCCAAGCAGATGTAAAAAAAAGGTGAAAGTTACCGAAGAATATTGAAAATTGCGGCAAATTGGAGCACTGACTGCTGATAATGGGGAATTGTTAGAAGACTACCAGGCCTTGCAGGAGGAAAAGGTAAATTTTACTGTGACACGACCTAAGTCCTCCCAACCCTTCAAGCGGTGATAATGATTGGTCCCTAAATCCTTTTTAAAGGCGAAGATAAAAGTTTTATGGTTTCTGGAGCTTACTTCTCGTTTAAGGAACCGCAAATATTAGAAACATTACCTTCGTATGAATTTTGTTTTTATCAAAATTCGAAACCTTGTTGCAAGTTCTTGTGTTTTCGTCCTTCTTACAGCAACTCAGCGGTACTTTATTGTCCTTATTAACTTCTTTCCATTTACTCTGGTCCCAGTCCATGAAATTACTTGCGCCACAGCATTCGAGCTTCAGAGAATAGACAGCGAAGAATAGTATAATGAGTATTGTTTTACTTCCTCAAGGAAAACCTATGTACCTTTTGAGGAAAACAATCAGTTTGATGTATTTAACTCTGACCGAACGATTCTGTGCAAAGGGTTAGCTGAAAGAGAGGGGGAGGCTAAGCTTGTTTGTAAGCTCATCTTTTAAATAGGGAGGGAGAGGCTGGGCTTGTTTGTAAGACCCTTTTTGTAAAGAGAGAGGGGGAGGCTGGGCTTGTCTGGAAGCCCTTCTTTGTAAAAAGGGAGGGGGAGGCCGGGCCTGTTTGTAAGCCCCTCTTTGTAAAGAGGGAGATAGAGGCTGGGCTTATTTGTAAGCCTCTATTTGTCAAGGAGAAGGTTTAGCAGACAAGGGAATAATGAGAGTGCTTGAAACTCGTCCCCACCCTTCTTGGATGGTAAAAATGTTACAGTCACTTCTAAACAGAAAGCTTCTTACCTTACATTAATGGGAAATTGTGTTTAATGTCTAAAGAAATCAAAAAATGATCTGCTTACACGAATTTGTAAACTATCCACGTTTTGATTAGTGGGTGAATCGCTTGTCACCCCATAATTTGTCTTTATTTCTTCTTTAAGCATATTTTCCACCGCAGTTTCAACCTTTTGAAAGAAAAACGAAGAAGTTGTTTGGTCATAAGTTTAAGAAACATTTTCTCCCTTTGCTCTAGAATGGAAGTTGATATGTCAAACGCATCGGTTACCGAATCGAATTTCTGAGACCTTTCTCTCTCTGCAGGCACCTCGTACAATTCATTTTCACAACGTTCGAGGGGGATTGGGAAACTACAATACTTGCGCAGTGGTTGAGGAAACACAAGTTAAAGAAGCTCATTCGAGAGCAAACATAAACGGGGAGGAGTGAGCAGTTGTCGTTGATCCTAATTAAGATCTCTCACTTGACTTTCCACGTTCGCTGTTCCGACGCTCGTGCCTGGTATTTTCCGAAGTTTAAATTTTCATTTCAATTGATAACCGACTGGATTCGGTTTAATACAACGTTTGCTCTCATTAGTTTCTTAACAAATAAAATTTTTTACGTCTTTAATAATAGGAACTCAAATACCCAAAGCTTAAGAAATCGGAAATGTGTGAAATTACTAAAGAAAAGCTATAGAAAGTCAGACCTACCCTGTCGCGATAAGTGAAACTAAGAATTCCCGCCACAGCCTCAGCAGCAAATATCAAAAATAAGCAGCCAAAGAACTGAAAAAACAGAGAAATTTATAAAAGGCTACAGGTTAACTACGCACAACAAACCCAACAGCTCATCACTACCTCAGCTCATCCCGTTTTCTATGACATAAATCAACATGGCGCACTGGATCAGCTCCTCCCCTGGATGCTAATTGATCGGAGGTAACTAGAGCAATTTTCAGTTGAGCGTCAAAAGCAATACGGGATTTCTTTGATTTTGCTTTACTTCGTTGAGATATTAATCCAGAAAACTCGCGTCATTTTCTCAACCAATCTGATTCTTGACTAAGACCTATTGCGGCTTGGTTGCTTGCATTTTTATGCGCTCCAAGCTGTCTGCTTGTTTTTACTTAGAGTTCTCATGAACTATCTAATATGCCCCTCTCCTCTGATTGACTTTTTTATTACGAAACTCCATAGGTATGCCTTTCAACGCGGCTATTCTTTCCCTAAAAGGTTGTTAGTACCCATTTACACTCTTTACCAAGAGAAGCTACAAATAATCTAAGGGTGTCTTGTCCACGAAAACAACATATATGACCAGGCCGGGGCTCGCTTCCTGACCTCTTTTTGCGGAGTCTAGCGCACTGGCCGCCAGGCCACCGCACCACACTCAAGATGAAAGTCACCTAAGTTTAAGCTTCAGTACCAACCAACAACCAACAACCAACAACAACATACCAAACCCAGGAGACGTCGACTTTCCTTTATGGTCCCGCAGCATCCAAGGAAACCGACGAACATCACAAATCCACCACTCGCCATTAAGATTATGGAGGGAAGCATGAAACCAATATTCCCAAGAAAGGCGTTAAGCTGTCCTGGGTCAATCTCGTTCCATATTCCTATTCCTAAGACCGCCGCGCCGGCAAGCTGCGAAAACGAAGAATGAAAATATGATCAAAGATTTTATCAAGGGCGTTACAGACGGAGTTTTAAGATACAAATACTCCCGCGCACACCCCTTTGGAAAGAAAAAAAATATATAATTTAAAGGGTACTGTGGTGTAAAATTTGTCGGTTAAAAAGTTGTATCCACAAAGTTAATTGACAAGTAGAAACACGCAACGAAGAAGCGCGATCGGAGTGCATGTTTCCTTGCGTGACTCTTTACTCACGACATATCACTCTCCCCCAGGCCCTGAATTGATTTCAACGTATGCAGAATTTTCGGTTCATCCAGGGAAACATTGCAAAAACGAATTTGATTCCAGCATGGAGAGCGTTTCTAACATTCATCTTTTGGTGGAACTTTCTAATTCGAAGTCTACTGACGCATATGATTCAATCAAAAATAGAGGTCTGTGAAGAGTCTATAAACAATCTCTTAGCATCAGCCGTAAATTAGCGAAAGGTCACGAATAGAAGACGTGATAGATGATACTGATATGATATCGTAAATAGCGCGCGTTCTTTTATGCGCCTGATTTTGAATTGAATGACAGACTCCCGATAACTACTGCCAATTTTCATTAACATCGTAACAACAAATCCTATTAGCGAAGCAAAAGGATTAAAGTACTCCGTAGAGTTCGCAAAGTTCTCTCTCATTCGATATCCAGGTTATGGGCAAAATTATGGCACAAATATCGTTGAAATGCATTCTTTTTTATATACCGCTGCGCAGACGACAGTAAGTGAATACTAACCCATTTTGCAGTCACCAGAGTGCGATGTGTAGGACAATATCACTGGCCGCAGCACGAGAATATTGTTATAGCTCGTCTGTTATTCGAGCTTATTCGCCATTTCAATAACTTGAAACAAAAAGAATCTTAAAGATGATTTCTCGACTTTGTCGTTTGCCTGTGCTCCTGAAAACATCAGATCGACCTCCGCCTGTCCAACATTAAAGGCCCATTTCCAACCTTGATGCAGTGAGGTCGTTTGTTTTTGTTTTGAACCACCGCTTTTGTTTAAATAGCGCCTCTGATTGGTCAGTTATTTTTACCTTGTCACGTTGTCTCAAAATACCTTCTGACGTAAAAGTGTTGATGGCACATATATCTTTTACTGCTGTAATAAACAATAGAGGCATCGGAAAAGGCATCGGTGGCATACGGAAAGGCACCAAGAAGGGTTATATTTACGTTTTGTAACTTGGCTTATAAATACAGGTGTTTAGTGTTAAATTGTAAAACTCCCCGAAGAAGTCTACGACAGTTAAACGAAACGCGTCGGAGAATAAAGAAATTTTACAACTACCGTTCGTAGAGTGCTGCTCACCAGTTTAGTTTTAAAGATTTTTTTTTTTTAATTTGGTGCGATAGCTGTGGTCAGTTTTTCCATGCAGGTTGTCTGGATGTACCTTTCGCAGAGACGTGGGGGGGACAGAGACACCAACACAACATTTCACCTGCCGTTCGCTTCGAAAATTAAGTTTTCATCCCGAGTTTATTTGTTAAATAAAATAGAAAAAAAAAACACTTCGAACGGGAAACAGAATTATTTTAACGCCTGGGTCTTCTGAAAAAAGATCTCCTAAACGAGTGGCCCTGATTATAAATATTTAAGCATGGTAAACACATTAGCCTTAACTTGGCTGTTTCTCGAAGCTCAGTGTTTTCCTACACGCCTTTTTCACGTGAAATGAGGCGATTGAATATATATAATAAACACTAAAAGAACCACAGCTGATGGAAATTTAAAATTTTTTATCTAAAGGCTGTCGAAACAAACTTATTAATGACTCTAAGAATATAGAAATCTAGAGCGAAATTTTTAAGAGTTGCTTAGCTTTTCATTTTTCCGGAATCGAAAGTCGAGATTGCAAAATTCAAGTGAAAAGCAAACCAACTGTTATTTACACCTTAAACAAGTCAAGATACTTTTTTTCCGTCATACAACAAGTTACATATCGTAAATATCACTCTTCTTGATGCCTCTCCCGGTGTCACTGATGCCTTTCCCGATGCCTCCGTTGGTTAATAGCAGTAAAAATATTGTTCCAGTCAAATCGTTTGGAAAATTGCTTAAATTTTGAATAACCTGGTAACATTTTGGCTTTACAATACGATTGTTTTTTGTAAGTTACAAAACGTAAACATAGTTCTTTTTGGTGCCTTTCCGGATACCACCGTTGCCTTTCCCGATACCTCCATTGTTTAATACAGCAGTAAAAGATATATGTGCCATCAACACTTTTGAAAAATTGCTTCACATTTTATTTAGCGAAGTACACTGTTAACATTTCGGCTTTACAACACTATTGTTTTCTGCAACTACAAATGATATGTCTCTATACGAGGTATTAAATTTGTTTCCCCGCTGACCACTCGTATTTCGGTCATTTCTTCATCCCCCGCTCGTCGCCCGTGGTAACTCTCTCTGCGTTTTCTCCGATGAATTTGAAGAGCGTGTCAAAAGAATTCGGTTTAAAACAGTTCTATACGTTTAATCCAGCATGGAATCAGATAATCCATTGACTTTGTAGTTTCCTAGGCAGCAAACGCTTATGGATCGGTTGTTGCTAAAGAGAAACACGAAAATCCTTGCGAGTATTTCGAAGAAGGCGGAAATGTTGATCCACCACGTTTTCATCCATTCATCAATTTTTTTTAATTGAAGTTTGCCATCCTTGTTGAATAGGACCAAGGGTCAGTTGAAGTTTCCTGCCCGTAGAGAGGAGCTTACGCTCGAAAGAGTGGTCGAGGTTGTTGTCCATGCAAAGCGGCAAATAAGAACTGTAACGCAAACTGTCAGTGTCGCTGACGTTACTGCAAGGAAGTGACTAAACTTAAAATGATTACACGTCCGGCAGTCCGATATTTTCCACATTTCTCTTCGAAATCCAAAAAATATTTATACGAAAATGTTCTACCTTTATTTACAATCCTCAAGCGCCTCCAGGCAGCGTAAAATTTCAAAGAGATCCAACCGTGACATTTAAAAAAAATTTTCTTCGGATTCTTCCGGACAAAATTCAAAATACTGTAAGGAAACTGTAAAATGACGAACGGCGAATGTATTTACCGTAAAACAGTTGACTATGTGTCCAGGATGGCTCTTGAGAAAGACGATTTTAGAAGGTTTTCTGTGATCTGGGAATTTCGTGTTACAGGAAATTGGGTCGCGGCGTGCGTTGCATCAAGGTTGGAAATGGGCCTTTAAACCTTCTCAGTTGTCAATACGCTGTGGCGAATTTCAGCTGTACAGCGAAACTCAAGGAGACGGATACTAGCTCAAAATTATTTATACTTACCCAAGATATAAAATTGAAGGCTAAAAGGAGGGTCTTTAGACACTTGATACCACACATCAAGTCGACAGTTGGCTTCGCAAATGCAGTCACAAAAGATACCTGTGCCCGTTGGGCTGTCAGCACACGCAGCGAGAAGAAACTTAGGCTTGAAGACGAACCAATGCGCTTGTTGGATGAATAGGATCACTCAAGGTTTCTGGTAAACCAGGCCACATTTTGTAATCGAGGCTCGATTTTGTAATCGAGGCTCGATTACGAAATCGAGTCTCGATTACGAAATCGAGTCTCTTTTGTAATCGAGGCTCGATTTTCCAATCGAGCCTTATTTCTTTAATCGCAGCTTGTTTTTAAGAAAGAAAGAAAGAAAGGAAGAAAGAAAGAAAGAAAAAAGGAAGGAGGGAAGGAATAGAGGAAGGAAGGAAGGAAGATAGAAAGGAAGAAAGGAGGGAAGAAAGAAAGAAACAGAAAAAGAATACTGCAAGTTGAAAAATTAATAATTTGAACCCATATGCTTCTGTAACTGCAAACTGAGAATCCCTAACATTGTGTGGTTGACAGTATGCACCAAGCAGCAAAAAATAAATAAATAAATAAATAAAAACAAGAAAAATAACGAGAAAATGACAAAAAAGAAAAGAGTAAAAACACCAGGATTAATATGAGTTTTTATCGTGGGCGCAACAGGTTATTTTCAGCACATTTGAATAAAAGGTATAGTCTGCCTTTAGTAGACTGTAAGCATTCCCTCTTTGTTTAAGAAAATGCGTGGGTCCCTGTTGCGGGGTATACGCTACGTGCTACCCTAGACGTGATCTGATGCCAGTTGTGTGTTAAGCTGTAAAAAGCTGTAAAAAGAGTTCACGTATTTTTCGGCCACTTGCCTCTGTTGATGGAATCGCGTTCTATTTCTTAGCAAGGAGCTGATGAACAGACCCGTTTCCTTATTGTGCGGACATAGTGGATGCCAAGAATGTATACATCAGCTTATTTCAAATCAATCCGGAGGTGGACGGGAAAAGGCGTGTGTAGTATGTCGGGAGCCAATCAACGAACACATGTTGAACATCAGCATACCCCTCAGCTCAGTCATTTCCAAATTGAATGTGAAATGCACAAACGTTGGCTGCACGTGGGTCGGTGAGCATAGTTCTAAAGAGAGACATCAAGAGACCTACTCATTCCTCCTTCTGGAATGCCCCAATGGCTGTCCTGAATCGCATTTGAGAGATTCACTTGAGCGTCACTTGGAGATCTGCCCTCAAGAGAAAGTACCTTGCAAGTACTGCACTGCTGAGGTGGAGGTGTGTGAATGAAAGTAAAGGTATCTGTTTCTCCCTTTTTCTTTTCACTAATAGTAAAATGCAATTGCACATGTTACTCATTAAAAGATAATCACCGGTTATATTGTTTTTGTTTTGTTTTGTTTTTTAATTTTGTTTTTCCTTTTACCTAATGGAGTGCAAAAAATTGTAGTAGTTTTGGATTTCAATTCCTCTTTTGTCTGTACTTAAACAGTTAATCTACCAGTGCTTATAGTCTACAGTGAAATGTGAGCTGGGGATTAATAAAAGCTTTTTTAAAACATATTTAGCTGAAAATATGAAACAGATAGCAACATAAGATATAAGGAAGCCTCAGTCATGCATTTTAAGTTAGAATGCTGCTTTTGGCAAGATATTATTTTGTATCTGGTGGACATTTTTCTATTGTCATCATCCAGTGAGAACCCTGCATTAAAGTGCATTGAATTATTGACAATATTTCCAACATACCTTGAGCATTCTGATTGAGAATTCCCAAAGAACTCGTATCTTCTTCTACAATCCCAGCTGAAATGAAGTGGCATAAAATTAGATGAATATCAAGACATTAGTTATTGTGCATTCCTTTATGCCATGAAACTGAATGAGTGAGTCAATCTGTCAGTCTATATCACACCATACTGTAGCATAGTAGAATGTCCTATTCTCCATTTACATGAGACCCAGTTGTTCATCTCTTGAATTTTAATTAATACATTAAGTAATTTCAAAGTGTATGTGTTTTATAATCCGTTTTATAGAAACGTACCTTTTAGCCACTGTTCTGTGCCAGCTAAATGACATGCTATGTTGAAAGGGAAAAAAAATCATGGAGAAAAACTTTTGTCTTTTTTTAAAATATTAATTTCTTTCATTTCTCACATAAATTTGGTTGATTTACTTCACACCTCATGTGCAAACTTGGCTTGGCCTAGGGTGCACAATTAAGTTGCCTCTTAAATGGTAATTTATGATGCAATTGGAAATCATCCATGTAAACTACCTGCAGTAATAAACTAGATTTTTAGCATAATATATGCGGTTTTCAGAAAATATACATTGCCACCCTAGGGATTAATCCAAATCAGGATTGGGGTCTGCAAAAAAACAAGCATTTAAATGTTCTTTAATCAGTCATCATCATATTGCCTGAGTCAACATTTACTAGGTTACTAGCTAAATAGCTTCTGTCAAGTTCACCGTCATTGATATCATCTGAAGCAATGACACCATCTGTTCAAAAAACAACACAACACAGTTTCAGGTGTGTGACACGATAATTATCTACAGCAGATGGGTCACCTGCTTCCACACAAGATGCAAATATAGGATTAAATATAAATCATTAATAAACTTAATAACTTATGTGCCAATCAATTAAGCACTTACATTCACTTGTAGGCAATGTCAAGTCCACCAGACTAACAACACCACTCGCCGCACTTGTTGCACCACTGGAAGTCTCTGGCTGGATGACTGAATTGGTCACACTTGTTTGAGATTGGCTGTGATTTTGGTGAGTGGTAGATTGTTGAGAAAGCAAGGGAGGGTTGGAATTAGGCTGAGCAGGGGGAAGGGAGGGTTGGGAATGGTTTTTGGAGGGTGGATTGGAATTGGGCTGAGCAGGGGGAGGGAGGGTTGGGATTGGTTTGTGGAGGGTGGGTTGGAATCAGGCTGAGCAGGGGGAAGGGAAGGTTGGGATTGGTTTGTGGAGGGTGGGTTGGAATTGGGCTGAGCAGGAGGAGGGGAGAGTTGGGATTGGCTTGTTGAGGGATGGAGGGAAGCAACATCAAAATTAGGATTTGTTTGAAGAGATGGAGAAGGATGGTTGGGACTGCTTACTCCTGGTGTTGGTATAGACTGAGAGTTAGTGTTAGATCCTGAGATAAAAAAGGAAACAAATAATTTTTAATTAGTGTTTTGAATTACTAGTGAAAAAGTGGAAATATGAGCTTATTGCAAGTTTTCCTTCAATAAATCTATGACATAAATATTGAAAATTTTGAAAGGCAAAGAACCTTCTTAAACTTGTAGTGCAATCCATGGTAATAAAAATAAAAAAGAATTAATGTTTAAAAGTCATAATATCAAGATTTAAATTTCTCAGCAGAATAATTGGGTTATGTTGTTGCATATGTCTGTCAAAGACTACTTTTTTTTTTTTGAAGTGTGGTGAAAATGCATTCCCACTTTCAGGAGGCTATTATTTCCAGAACGTACATGTTTCATTTTTTTTGTATAAGTGTGTAATTGAAATTCTAACAGATATTTGTTGGTGCTGTGGCCATATATTTTACTCCACTGCACTTATATCCATGTCAACATGCAAATTCGCTATAAAACAGCCTTTGCAGCACAGTTATCTGGAAGCTTTGGCAAAGATGGCCTTTACTATCTTTACCCATGAGTCATGCTACATAAATGTGTATGCACTCATTGCAATCTTTTGGTGCTGAGTCAAGTCACAATGTCAACAATTTTTTTTGCTTGTGGCCAAGGACATGTATGAGCTGACTGCAACAACACAAACCCCTAATTGCTTATGAAAGATTACACAAACCTCCATTTCTTGGGTGATGCAAAACCGTATTTATGTGCCTGGAATTAGCGCTAGCCCTTCCCCTGCCATAAATTCTAAAAATTGACACCACATACAGTTTACAGTTGCTACATATGAAATGGGATTTCAATTCACCGTGTAGTAAATATAGTATGTAGTAAATATAAATAGAGATGAGCATTGATAAGTTTCTAGACTTGTTTGACATGTGTTATTCCAGTCCATATTCCCCTCTGCCCCTTTGCCTCCTCCCCTTTCTTCAATGGTTAGCCCTGCCAATCTGAAAATTCCAGTTAAGGCTCCTGCTTTCCTTAAATATTTTACCAATAGCCGGTTTTCACTGTCAAACCATCATCAAAACAATTAAACAGATGAAGTCAAGAATCAAAGAGATAAAATAAGATGAATATTCAAACAGTCTCGCAAAGATTCAGGTCTGTGCGATGTTTCGTGCGAGGGAGGGTCACAAATATGGCAGATGGAAGCTATCAGTCATACGAGGACTGTTCAGATAGCGAAATCTCAACAGATAAGTCATTTTTTTTTAATCTACGTGACAGCATTTAAATATCGTGTCACGCTCAGAGAGCTTTTCAATTCCACCTTGCTTTAGCAGAAGACAAAAAACCCGATAAACTGAAATTTGTTAAAAGAGAAGTCTTCAACTGTTCTATGAACCAACTTAACTAAAATCTCATAAGGATTGATAATTCCTTATTTTTTAATGTTGATGACGACACGTGAAATGACGCTCTATGGGGTGGGTCTGAATTTTTTTTCTTCAAAGACGGATTCTTTCCGCCCACCATCACATGTGTTATAAAAGGTGCTGCTTTTGTGCAGATTTCACTCCTTCACAGGCCTTACAGTCGCAGCAGGTCCACTGCGCATTCTTAAGTTTCAATAAATGATCCCTAACAAATAGTTAAAGTATAAGTGGTAAATTAATAAAGGCTGTCTTGAATCCTACGTCGCGTGGCTGGAATTTGCATTGTTTTGCCTTACCTGGTTTTTACATTACTATAAACTTATCCGTTTACATCCAGTATTCAATGCATACAACTTGCATGTGAGAATAAGTGCTCTGGTACTTATCCTACCTATTCAAGTCAACTGCCGCAAGTCCAGCAAAATTTTCCTTGACCAGCTCTTTCATCTTTGCACTCGAATAGTTGCCTCCAATTGCGATGTCTTTA